AATGGTTGGAGTCGGGTTTGGCTGGTTATTCGGACTTTTTTATGAGTTTGGGTCGTTGTTTGGAGAAGAAACTCGTCAACTGGAAAAAGAAAGACTAAGTAACAAATAGCGAGATATAATGGGTGATGACTTTTCTGAAATGATCATACTGAAAATCGTCTGGTGGAACTAGAAACCTGAAATGTAACCAACAAAAAATGAATCTGATACTGTGGTGATAAGCAGCTTCATTTACTATTCCCCTGGGATGGATGCCAAGTCACCATATAACTTTCTGTAACAATTGATTAGTCACACTATTCTTACAAGTGTTATGAAGAATTGTAACTTTCAAATAATTGTTTTCCTGACGAATTGAAGATCTGTGATCACCTATGAGAGAATTTTAGAGAAGGACGCCACTTGTTTGAAAACTAACATATGGAAAGACATAATAACTGAAATTCACATATAATTTTGAGACGTTATTTTGTGCTCAACGTAATAATCACCAAAGTGATTGGATATGCTCCCATGCCACAGTTCAAAGTAAGCACTATTTTCTCTTATTTTATTTATAAGTTATTTTTAGAATTTTTATGGAAATCAATAAAAATCTTAATTCTTATTATTTCTATCTAAAAATTCATCAAGTTTTCAACCCTATCCTTATTAAATGTTAGTCTAGTTAGTAAAGATATAACTCATAACTCATAAGATTATTCTTTCTATAAGTATTGATGTAAGCAAAATATTTGAGCTTGGAGATATGCCTTAGTTTTGATGAGCTCTCAAAACCTAAATTATTTAAACTTTCTTTCATAAAAAAATAAATAAAATATTATAACATTTAATAATATTCTCAACATTCAATAAGGGTAAAAGAGTAGGTATGCACAGAATAATTATTAATGTGCCTTATGAACAGAACAAAAACAAATATTACATATCTACTCTATAATAGTAAATAGGGCCACTGGAGTTACCTTTTAATGGTAATACTCCCTCTTAAAAAAAAAAAAAGCTAAAAATTAAAAACAATATAAGATATTTTTGGTTACGTCTTTCAATATGTTTAATTTATAATTTTTTTAAAAATATTCAAAATAAATAAATCACTCAACTCTTAATAAATTGAATTAAAATATTCTTTTTTAAAAAATGGAAGGGTCAAACCAACCTTCTCACGGTTAAAATGAATAGACTTATAAATTTTCGTAGTTTTATCATCTAATGAATTCTATGCTAAAAATATGATGACAAGTGTTATAATTCATATAACAATGCACCCATTCATAAAATTGTAAACACATTATATGTTGTTGTGAGATAATAATTTTTTTTTAATTCTGTCTGATATACAAAATAATTTGTCATCATGAAATGATGCAAGTCATGAGAATGACACTGTAATTAATTGATCTTTGGAAAGATGTAATAAAAAGTTGAAAGTAGAGAAAGGAGAATGGTAACAGAGTGGGTGGAGTTCAGCTTCTCTCCCCTTCATTGTCTATTTATTCTCCCTTCATTGTAAATTTAAATTATTATAATTTTATTTTTCAATATTTTAGATCTTCTTATAAAATGAATATTGAAAAAATCTAAAGCAGAAAAAAAGTATAAAAATTTAAAATATAAAAAAAAAGTGCAAGAACTAATGATAAAATATAAACAAAGTATATGAATTTAAAGTTATTTTTTTAATATAATTTAATGATTTTTATCAATAGTTTACCTTCCTTTGTAGAGGAAGGAATCCAACTCTAAATGATAAGGAAGAAAGACAAGAAGAGAATCGAGAGGAGGGAACCCTTGTGGCAAGGGCGGCCAAGACGCGGCCACGCACTCCACTCGCCAGTCAGGAAGGAAAAGGAAGGGCCCACTGTGTCCCCAGCTCCACGTGCCATCTCTTCAAACTCGTTGGCGTTTGCACGAAAGAAATCAATTATTGGACGTCTCATTTACAGCTTGTAATTCAAGCAGGTCAGTTTTATTCACATCATATTTAAAATATTTTACCTTATAAAAAATTTATATAATTAAATTTGATTCTAATTATTTAAATTTTTAATTTTATTTGGACTGGAATGAATGAATGTCTGAATTATTAAATATTTTATTTTTTATCTAATTTCAATTTTTATTTTAAACAATTAATATTTTCAATTTTTATTTTATTGATAATTATTAAGAAAAAAAGAATTCAGATACTCTAACTAAGCCTGTCCAAGTTTGAGCTTGACCCAGATTTTTTTGAGTGGCCTGAATAAGCTTGAAGTAATTTAAACTTCTAAGTCTGGTTTTAAAATTTTTTAAACTTATTAGGCTTAACCCGCTGGACTCGCCTTTGATATCTTTACACCATGCACAACCCTAATACGACGCCAAATATAGAATTTTCTCAAGGCATATATACTATACATTTTTCAACAAGTACACAAACAAGAAATCTGCAGACGTGCTAGCATCTTTTTGCATCTAACAATCAGTGGCCACAGTTAGATCTGAGAAAAGCTGAACCAACTGAAATGGATGGAGATTAAGATGATGCTCTAGCTAGCCTGCATTTTCAGTGAGGAAACTAATAAAGACCGAATATATTCAAATCCAGATCTACTAAACATTCCACATGCCTACAATCTATTGTGACTTTGTTCAAAATCCATCTGCGCCGATCAATGCCTCCAGTTAAGTTCTAATGTCGAGCTTCCACCACTCTCCGCCCTGTTATCATAGTACACCTGAAGAATAAAAAGATGGTGGCAGCAGACACATCCATTGGACAAGAAGCAGTTCTGGGAAAATATAGCTAGGCTCTTTTTCTTCTCCTTTTTTGGCCAAAAATTGCTAGGCTCTTCTAAAAGAACATTTTTTGTCACATAACTTCTGATTACATGTCATTGGTTTTCAATATCCGCATGCTTTTCAGTTCTCTAACACAGCCGCCATTTGACATTACTTTATTTTGATTGAAGCAAGTGGGGTGCTTTGTCAAGAATGATGTGTTATGCCTATATAAAGTGAGATAGCAAACAAATGATGGGTTAAGCGTGTGATTTGAAAAGCCTGTCTGAAAGCTAAATCAAGGTCGTAAAGCAGAAAACACTTGAGCGAACGAGCTTTCACTTTCACTTTCACATATAAGTAATCTTTTTGAGAATATAGCTATCTAGTGGAGTGAGCAACTATATGTAGATGGTCTAAAAATTGAGTGGCTATAATTATTATGTCGTACCAGAACCCCAAATCAAACACAGGGTTAAGAAACGTTTGTTTAGGAAGAGGGTGATCATCCATCCATATGGATACAGAATTGCACTGTCACAGATAATTTTCTTTGTCAAAAAGACATGAAAAGGAATTTCATTTTCAGTAACTTCAAAAGCAATCAAAAACCAACAGTGAAACTCATTATCGTTTTTTTGATCCTTCAATAAAAGCACACGCAAAGCACTTGTGAATATGCTGGAAAGTTACTTGTTTAGGAGAGCGAGGGGTAAAGACAAAAGTGTATATGCAGTTTTGCAGATTGGGCTCTTCGTGTCTAAGAATGATAATTCCTTCATCAAATAGCAGCTCGTATCTTTATAGAGCTTGCTAGCTTCTTTGAAACAAAGGTCACAAAGAAAGAGAGCCAAATAAAAAATTTAAATATAAAATAGTTCTTTACGGTTTCCAGCTATCAACATTTCATGGGTTTTAAAACAAGATACATTTAAGATCATCAGAAGAGGATCTCCTTTCATGAAAGTCGCTCTAGTGTAACCTTTAATTTAACCTTCAAACTTGTGTGGGCTACAGGTAATGCGTATCTATATTAAGATGCAACATTATTGACGTCTTCGTGACTAAGCAATCAGTTTATTTATTATTCCATCAAGTGTCCATGTCACTAATCTTAGTTTCGTCGCATGCTCTAGTTCAAAACCAATTTTGTTTTCTGAAATTCCCTTAATTGTGCCACATAACCGTCCAAATTGTGTCCCAATACATGTTTACAAGAATTTAAAATTATTCGTCTAATCTTCAGGGAGATGCTTTCCCCCTTTGCATCTACCTATAAATAAATAGAAGATACAAGGCTTCATTAAGCATTATCAACCACCATACCATTTTTCTTAGTGCATGCATTACTATTCTTACTTCCTAACTTCAAAATTTAAATATAATGCATGAGTCCAGACTAGTCCCTTTCATGAAAACTTGTCATTATCACTGATGTTACCTAAGCTGATGCTTGAATATGGGAAGTTGGGAAATGATAATTAATTCACATAATAATTTCGGGGTGATGTGAGAGGTTTTAATTGCTCGATGTAAAGCTATTTCTGTATAATAAAACTGACACTTCCGCATGACATGCTACTAAGAGTCCAGGAGATTGGAACTGAACTGAACCAAACTCAGCAATTAAGTTCTTAAGCGTGTTCAAACATGACTAGAATTCATTGCATAAAACACATACATGTAATGTTAATTGATGAGTGAACATCGACAAATCTCAGTAAATTGGATTGTCCTCCTCGAAAGCGTGCCCGAACGTAAAAGAACCTGTCGTAAGCAACATGTCTTTGTTATCACCTGCTTTAAATCTCGTGGCTCCAGCCTTAGGTTCTTGCTTTCATGACTTGTTGCACGGTTACACCCCAAGTGGCTCTAATGTAACCTTTAATTTAACCTTCAAACTTGTGTGGGCTACAGGTAATGCGTATCTATATTAAGATGCAACATTATTGACGTCTTCGTGACTAGGCAATCAGTTTATTTATTATTCCATCAAGTGTCCATGTCACTAATCTTAGTTTTGTCGCATTCTCAAGTTCAAAACCAATTTTTGTCTATGAAATTCCCTTTATTGTGCCACATAACCGTCCAAATTGTGTCCCAATGCATGTTTACAAGAATTTAAAATTATTCGTCTAATCTTCAGGGAGATGCTGTCCCCCTTTGCATCTACCTATAAATAAATAAATAAAAGATGCAAGGCTTCATTAAGCATTATCAACCACCATACCATTTTTCTCAGTGCATGCATTATTATTCTTACTTCCCAATTTCAACGATCAGTTGTTATGCAGATGAGTTCTTCAAACCAACAAACATTATCAGGGCTAATGGCTCGTGGATGGGTGAAGCTTAAGGCTATGCCCAAGGGTTTGAAGAAAAAGGTGTTCAATATTTATAGGACAACCAAAGAGATAGGGCAAGACGATCCAAGAAAAGTCATTCATGCCCTCAAAGTAGGACTTACACTCACTCTGGTGTCTTTAATCTACTATTATCAGCCCCTATATGACAGTTTTGGTCTCTCTGCAATGTGGGCTGTTATGACCGTAGTTGTTGTCTTCGAGTACTCTGTGGGTAAGTGACTTCAGTATTGGTAAAGTATGCGCGTATTGGGATTTGTGTACTTATATGGTTTTTGTGACACTTTTCAGGAGCTACTCTGGGAAAAGGTTTGAATAGGGGTTTAGCGACACTACTTGCTGGTGCTCTAGGTGTTGGAGCTCATTACTTGGCCGACCTATCTGGACGGACAATAGAACCCGTTCTGATTAGCTTCTTTGTGTTCCTTCAAGGTGAGTAAACATAAACTAACACACATTTAGCAAATAATAATTATGATCATTAAACTTGAAAATGCTGATGAGGTTTTGGGCGATATTTTGTTATGCAGCTACAATAGCAACATTTATAAGATTTTTCCCCAAAGTCAAAGCAAGATACGATTATGGGATGCTCATATTCGTGTTGACATTCTCATTGATATCTGTATCTGGTTTTCGAGAGGATGAAATAATAGACATGGCACACAAGAGACTCTTCACCATTTTCATTGGGGGATCTGCATGTGTCATGATATCCATTTTTGTTTGTCCCGTGTGGGCCGGTGAAGAACTCCACAGCTTAATTGCCATCAACTTGGAAAGCCTTGCCAACTTCTTACAAGGTTAGTTTTTATTGAATAAAAAACTTGTAGAGAAATTACTCCTTCTATTCAATGAAGAGTAATTATGATATGCAGAACAACTAAAGCATCCTTTTTTTATATCTTGCAGCGTTTGAAGACGAATATTTTAAATCATCGAAAGAAGGAGAGTGTAATGACAAGACCTCCTTGTTGGAGGGGTATAAAAGTGTCCTCAATTCAAAGAGCACTGAAGAGTCGTTGGTAGGTAAAGTAAAAGAAATATTTTCTTTGACTTACTTCTTTCAAATAAAAACCTATTGACACATGATTTGATATACATATATAATGTTCATTGGACAGGCTAACTTTGCAAGATGGGAACCAGGCCATGGGAGGTTCAAATTTCGTCATCCATGGGATAAATACCTTAAAATTGGAACTCTCACTCGCCAATGTGCCTATAGAATGGAAGCTCTAAATGCTCAACTAAACTCTAACCTCCAAGTATGTGTTATATGTAGATATATATGCACAAACACATATAGCTTGAGATTCTAGGTTTCTCAGGAAGGTCAAGTCCAACATTGTTTACGCTAATATTGGTTACTGCAATTTCTGTAGGCATCAGAAGAGATTAGGAGTGTAATACAGGAGGCATGTTCAGAAATGAGTTTGGAGTCAGGGAAAGCTTTGAAGGAGCTAGGAATGGCAATGAGCATGATGAGGAAGTCATGCTTTGCAGATACCCATATAGCCAACTCAAAATCTGCTGCCAAGAGCCTCAATTCATTACTCCGGTCAAGTTTATGGAATGAAATAGATCTTTTATCAGTCCTACCAGCAGGCACTGTGGCTTCCTTGCTGTGTGATATTGTTGCTTATACTGAGGAAATTGCAGCTGCTGTGAATGAACTTCCCTTGCTCACGGACTTTGAAACTGTAGAAACAGCTAAATCTGCATGCAAAACGCAGTCTACTCCACATATTGACAGTACCTCCCGCATGGTAATTTTGGTTGAAGATTCGACTCTATCTGATTTACCAGAATCTAAGTCATTTTCTAATAAGCATAACACTACTAGAGTGTGATCTACACATATGTATATACACTGATTTCACTTAAGCAAATCATCATCCTCAAAATTAGATATCATAACTTATCATATAACATAAAGTTATGCTGTAGCATGATTCATTTGATTACTGTATCCATGAGTATCAGACTAGTAGATCAGATACGTGTTTGTAAACTCCTATGCAAATAAGATAAATTCATCATGTGGTTTTCTTGATCTTAAATAACTTTAATCTCAAGTTCTGAATTTCAAAATCTTAGAGGTCTTTCTTGCTCTAATTCCATGTGGTCCTAGTTGGTTTTTACTTAGAACTACCAATATGAGCAACTTGCATAGAAATTAACTTGGTGCAAAACATATACTAAAATAAGGCATTCGAATTCAACTCTGTGAGTTACAACAATACGAGAATTTTGAAACGTGAACATGAATGGTTAGCTTAGAAATTCTTCAGATCAGATCAATATCCTAGAGGAAGAACTTTCATTAGAACTGGTGCTGGTTGCTAATTGATATGATATTTGCATCTTAATATGGACAAACCTACATCGGAGTAGAGGGGGTGGCTGCTCCCACTAAAAATTTATTTATTTATAGATAATATACGTAGCATGTGTATCCCATACCCCCATTTTATAGATATTAATTGCCCTTGGTGATTAATAATAATGTTACTCTCTTATACCATTCAACTTTTTTATAATTTTTTGTACTCATAATTTTAATGGTCCACATAAAAAATATCACATATTTTATACTCAATTATTTTGGTTCTAGCTTTTTTTCCTAATTGAAACCAACTTTCCGTCCTCTTCTTTTTTATCCCTTTCTTTCCACTTCTCTCTTCAGCTTCAACAAGAAAACAAAATCCCAAAATCTAGACTCTAGCTTAACCGTATTTGATTCAATCTTCAGCGTACTGGTTTTGCATGCACTGCATCTTCGCCCTTGCCTGAGCTTCCCTGGGTCTCTACCTCTCTGGTTCTACGTCCAGCTTTGGCGCTTTTGGTAGAGTACTCTGTAGGGGTTGAGAAATGGGCGGGCTCAGCCCTTATGAGCCTGCCTAATTTTTCATTTTTCACTCCTTTTTTTTAGGCTCGGCCCTTATTTGAAAGGCTTAAGATTGGGCCTGTAAGACTTGTCCTGAAAAAATTAAAAAAATTAAAATAAAATTAAGTACTATAAATTAATTAAACTATTCTAAGATTAAAAAAAAATCAAAATTCTCATAATATTTTATAAATTAAACAACATACATTTAGAAGTCTAGTAAAAAAATTCAAATCTTGATTAAAAAAATAGTTCATTTCTTATAAATATACAAATGTAGTAATTATAGAAAAATAAAAAATATTAGAAATTTTATATTATACATTGATATTTATTAAATTATATTAAATCAATTTTAAAATAAATTAAAATTAATAATAATGTAATGCATATAGGATCAGGGCTTCAGACGAGCTGGTCCTTCTTGACTTCAAATGCATGTTCTACTAAAGAAAAATAATTAATAATAATATAACAAAGCTTGAAGGGATGCTTGGGCCTGAGCCTTTTTCTATAGGGTTTATCAAAGCTAGGCCTTCAAGCTTGGTTATTTTAAAAAAATTTAATTTTCAAAACTTAAACTCTTATTTAAATAGAGCCTCTAAACCTAACCCTTCAGGCCCGACCTTTATTCTAAGTATGAGTACAAACTGTATCCATACTCTACTTCTTTAATCTTCACTTTTTAATTGAATCACTAATGATATGGTTCTACTTCTAGTATGGAATGTGGATAAATTGCACTACAAAAAAACAATGAATTAGCGACAAAATAAATTTTCATCGGTAACCTATCACTTATTCCATCTCTAATTTATTGACGGAATTTAGCGACAGAATATTCTATCACTAAAAATTAGTCACTATTTCATCTTTAAACTGTCAAAAATAAATTAGCGACAGAATTTTAGGATGGAAATTTTTGTCGCTAATTTCCATAATACGTTGTTCTCATTTTGTAACAGGATTTGCAATGGAAAATTTCATCACAAGCCTTTCTATCATAACTCCGTCAAATTTTATTATATGATTTATAATATATATTTATATATAATTTATTATTATGTTATAAATAAATAATTTAGTAATCATAATTTATTATTTTAAATTATTTAGATGTTAATAATAAATATAATAATTTAAATTATATATTTAAATATTTTTTAACAGCATAGTAACATACCTATTTATTGTTATTTGAAAAAAAATATTTTTTTTAAAAATAATCTAAAAATATAAAATATTATATAATATAAAAATTATAATATAATATATAGTGAAAATAAAATATTTGTCCATTTTAATATTAAACTTTCTATCAAAAATAATTTTTTAAAAATATAATATAATATAAATAATTATTATATAAAGTTAAATATATATATTCAAATTATATATTTATTGGTATTTGTGTGGGGGCAGTTAAATATTACATTTTTAATTTAGCAATTAAAAACTAACAATCTCCTTCAGCTCAACTAACAATAAAGTTGGACGCAAAAGCTTTGCAAAGGAAAGCGGTTGTGGGTTTAAAATGGGTCAAGGTACATTTGAAGTTGTTTTAAGTTAATATATGATGTGGATGTGACATGGCAGGGACATGGTGACATGGAGGCGACGTGGTAGGGAGGTAGTGTTGAGGGGGCACTAGCCTACTAGGTGACATTACAACAGTGATTTTTTATGAAACTTTTATTTGTGACAAATTAATGACAAAAAGCATTCTGAACTTTCATTTGTGACAAATTAACGACAAAATGCGTTCTATCACAGAATTGAAATATCTTATCTTTGTATAGTAATGGAAGTTTTGACATCACTAATTCCATCGCCATCGCTAATTAGCGACAGAATTGCAATTTCATCACTAATTAACGACAAAATTTGAAATTCTATCATTGATAAATTAGTAATGGTGTATTAACCAACGGACTTATTCTATCACTAATCCAATGCTCTCTTTTTTTTGTAGTGTGATAATGGAAGAGAAGAATAAAGAATTAAAAATACCAGGGCCTAGCTCTTTTAGGACCACAACTTTTTTTTTATTTATTAGTTTATAGAAATGGATAATGCCATTATTTGTTAATGCTGAGCATTAGACGACATCCACCATGGCATATATTTTTTAATTTTACATTTATTTGTTTATGTTATATTGTCATTATAATAATTCATTTAAGTTTTGAAATGAAATTTAAATTTTTTAGGCTTCTTATAATGGAGTTTTTTTAAAAGAAAAGCAAGCAAATTTTAACAGCTGTTATTTTAAAAATTTAATATCAATTATTAAAGAAAAGTTAAAAAAAGTAAAGTGAAAAGTAGACTTTTGATTTTGGTACTTTCCACTTTAAATAACCGATGTCAAATTCTTGAAAAAACAATTAAAATAAAAAAAATTTAATAATGGTTATTGAAAACTATTGTTAACTTTGTGAATAACCATCGTTAAAATTTATTTTTTACAATGGTTATTATCCATTGTCAAAAATTTATTTTTTAAAAAATCTTTTTTATATCCATCTAAAATTTAAAACTTATAAATTGTATATATTACACAGCAAGTATAATCAGCTAACCATCAAAATAACAATAATTATATAACAAGTTACAACTATACTTAATATATATTTATAACTACATTATATATTTGTTTAACTATTAAAAAATTATAAAATTTTGTTCAACCTCTTTACTTTGAAAATTATTTTTTAATTTTACATTTATTTGGTTATGCCATATTGTCGTTATAATAATTTATTTAGGTTTTGAAATGAAATTTAGATTTTTTAGGCTTCTTATAATGAAAAAATTTTTACAAAAGAAAAATAAGAAGAACTTTTAACAATGATTATTTTAAGCTTTAAACATTAGTTATTAAGGGAGAGTTAAAAAAAATGAAGTAAAAGGTAGACTTTCCACTTTACATATCCAGCGTTCAAACTCCCAAAAAAGCAATTGAAATTTAAAAAAATAATAATAATGGTTATTAAAAAATTCTAGTTAAAAAACTTTTAACAGCAGTTCTTTGTAAATAATTATTCTTAAAATTTATTTACCACAATGGTTATTTTGTAATAACTGTTGTCAAAAGTTTTTGGACAATGGTTTTCTAATAATCATTGTTAAAAATTTATTATTAAAAAACAAAAATTTATTTTTTCTATACATCCAAAACTCAAAACCTGTAAATTTTATAAATTACATAGCAAGTATAAATAGCCAGTCAATAAAATCACAATGACTATACAACAAGTTACAAACTACACTTAATATATATTTACAACTACACTATGTATTTGTTCAACTATTGAAAAACTATATAATTTTGTTCAACCTCTTTACTTTGAAAAATATTTTTGGAGAAGTTATTAAGCCAAAATATCTTGGATGCCTTCAATCTCTTCTTCATAATAGGGATCCATATTATAAAAAATCTAAATAATCAAATTAGCTAGAATAATACTTTAGGGAATTAATTACAGGAATTTAAACTAAAATAATAAAACCAAATATCCATTGTATTCTTTAAGTACTTCCAATTTGAATTAAACAAAAATATGGGAGGGATAATTAAATATAAAAGTTAAATGTTCATACTTACATTCGAGTAAATTCATTCCACTAATGACTTTTATTTACATTCCCCAAAAGTAAACATGTAATATGTCTCAAATTTATCATTTATAAATAAAAAAACATTACAAAAGTATAAATACATTTGGAAGAAAAATTTTATATAGAAAAAAACTTAGATTTCAACAACAATGAAGTTTAAATCAAACCCTCAAGCCATTACTATATTATATATATTATTAACCTCTAAAATTTCATGTCATTTCATCATATTTTCCTTATATTATAATTCATTTTGGCTCAATTATATGTATTTTCATTGCCCAAATTAGGAAGATGTGTATTTTATTTTGGGTTTGTATTTTTAGCTTTGATGTGATATTTTTGACCTAATTTTGTATTATTGTGATTTAAGATTTGAATAGAAACATTTATGGAGCTTTGTTAATATTTTTGGAAGGCTTTTGGATGAAGAAATCAAGCAGAAAATGAATGATTTTTGTTACTTATAAAAATAATGCAAAATTGCTAAAG